GTGATTATTCCTTTCCATTCGATCTATTAGCAAACTTTTTATAAAATGCTTTGATGTCACCCTTAGCATGTAATGATCGAGCCTCATTCATCCTGTCTTTCCTAGATTCGATAAATCCATTCGTTCTAACCTTTCCTCTGACTCGACTTTCATGATCCTCGTACATCAAAGCTTAAAAAGTTTTCCCATGTATCCCTCGTCCGAGTAATCATCGAGAAACGAGTAGTCTACGATTCTTTCCCCGATTCTATATTCCAAAGAATTCTTGAGAATTCTTTCCGAACGCATAGCTCAGTCTCACATCGATCTAATCCTGATAATTTCCTCGTAGCTAAACCCCAGTAAGCAAAATGTGTGCAAGTCAGCAATCAGGGCATGATACGATCACTACGGCGTAGTAGTGGCGCCCTTCGGTCGAACCATCATCTTGATCATGTAGATAAGCAAAGCAACCATACTCGTAGATCCTTCCAAAGGTTAAGGCAATAAGGAATTAGTCGACACCGAGAACACCCATGGAACCTGTCGATTTTTGGGTCCCATAGGCTACAATCATAGACTCACGTAGAAGTTTTCCTTAGAACCATTGGACCCTTAGTTACTCTGACATGTGAAAGCGTACCCATTTGTTGGAGGTTTTACCCTGGAAAGACATAGTACGTCTTGGGAAGTGCGGAAAACTTAACTTGTGGAACCCTAGACCCTTCGAGATCTTCGTTAGGAATCGATTCCATAGCTCTCTCCGAGCTATCTTAAGGACTCAGTAGCAACCATCTGGTATTCTGCATCTTTATTCGTAAGGCTTGCCGACCTGACGAGACCCTAGTAAAATCTTTGGAGGAGATGAAAACCAAAAAAAAAAAAAAAATCTGAACCTTCATGTATGAATCAATTGAGATTGTAGATTGAGAGGTTAACCATGCGTAACAAAGCCACATACTGACAGTGAGGGTTCGCTAGAATGTCGAGCAGGGACCCGATTCCACTTAGGAGCTTGAAGGCCCAGAGCAGTAGATTCATCCTCGTATATCATTTCACTTCGTGATCTTTGTTCGAATCTTTGAATTTTGGGACAAAATTCCCTCTAACGGGGGGATAATGTAACAACCCAAAATTCATATCCTTAATTGTAACCCTTTTCGTGACTCGTTCCGATCATCCAATCGCCGTTTCCGATTTCGTTTCCGTTTCCGACCTTTTATTAAGTCGTTAATGTGAATTTTATTTTATGACTTAATAAGCATCTTAATACCCTTAGAACTCATTCTAACGTCTCGTATTAATGATCGGAACATTTCTAGAATCAACCTTATCGGGTTACGACAAATTGGCCGGGTGCGACCAAAAGCCCCGTCTAACGCCGGTATCGGGTAGAATTCTACCGTGTCCCGAACTTGGACACTATTTAAAGTGATCCAAGTCTCCATTTTCAATCTTTTGCTCCATTTTACAACTATCACTCCAACCTCTCTCCTCAAACTAGATTTAAGGGTCAAAATCTCAAGTTTAAGGCTTCAAATCACCAAGGTACTTTCCCTAATTTGTTATGCAACATCTTTAGCCCTCAAATTCGAGTTCAAACCATGGGATAGGACCATTATCATGAGTTTACGGCCCTAGAACAACTTTAGGCCGTAAACTCATATAAAAGGGGTTTTTGGAGCAACAAAACCCTTCCAAACCTCAATTGGACTTTGGTTATGGCTAGAGGACTTTATGAAATGGAATTAGAATGCCTCAAACCAAGATTTAAAGCCTTGTATAAGAGTTTACGGCCCTGGAAGGTGCCAAGGCCGTAAACACATATTTAAAGGGGTTTTAAGCCATTTAACCCTTCCTAGACCCAACCAAACCTTAGATATGATTTTTAGAATATTGGAAATGGACCTAGAACACTTCAAACATAAATTTTGAGGGACTTATGTGAGTTTACGGCCAAGGCATGAGCTTGGGCCGTAAACCCCTCAATATTGGGTGTAAACTCAATTTCAAAGTGTTAGAAAGCCATCCAACACCACCAAAAGCCTTGGAATAAATCATAGGGTCTACCAAAAATAGTTTAAGGACCTTATACACATCAAAACCCTACATTTGAGAGTTTACGGCCATAGAACATACCCCATGGCCGTAAACTCCTAAAAGGATGTCAAATAGTGCCCAAAATTAATTTCTAGGCTTGTTAGAATTTTTGGAATCACATGTGATTAATTTTGGGACCTTAACAACACTAATTCCAAGAGATATGAGAGTTTACAGCCATGGACCCCATGCTTAGGCCGTAAACTCCTTTAAGTATTGCATTTGGTGAATTTAATCCATCCCAAGCCTTAAGTAAAATTAATCCAAGCATTCCCAAGTGGTATGGACCCTATGTGACCCATTAAACACCATAAACCACCCCCACCATGAGTTTACGGTCGTAAACTCATGGGGAATGGGTGTTTAGGCCATAAACTCAATTAGGAAGTTTATTCTTGTGGAGTAGACTCAAGTCTCAATTCCTTCGCTTCAATTCCCGTCCGTAGATGTCACCCGGGTCACTCCAAACACCCGTTTTGAGGTGTTTTCGTACGTTGGAGTGTAACTTCATATCTAATTAGAATTTGTAAATCTAATTAGATATATTTGTATGCCATTCCATTTTACATAGGAACCTCACGTGTTATCAGGCCTCGATTCGACGCTTAGCATCCAAAATCGACACACTTCCGCGTCCGGTGAGTTTATACCCCTACCCTTTTTCAATGGTTTTTCAATGTTTTCAGGGGGGTGGGGGAATACAAGCAAAAGTACAAGAATATCTTGTACTTAAATTATTGATTTCAGTTAAATGATTTCATATTGTACATTTTTAAAGAATTGACAAGCCTTTTAACAAACTGTTTTAACTTGCAGGGTTGTTTGTTTTAATCCGATTTTCAATTCTTAATATATATTGATATGTTGTATACTTTAGATTGATTATTCTCGTTTAAATCGATAAAGCACATAAACCATCGTAATGTCTGTAATAAAACACTAAGGTTCGAGTGTAAAAGTCAGATACCATTAGAAAACATAAAACATCTATATATCCTTAACAATACACCTAGGTTCGAGTGTGATAGATAAATACCATCACAGCACACAAATCAATTGTAATGTCCTTAATAAAACACCTAGGATCGAGTGTGAAGGACAGTCATCATTAAATAACACCTAGTATCGAGTGTAATGTCTTTAATAAAACACCTAAGATCGAGTGTAAAGGACAGGTACGTAGAACATAACTAGTCGTAAATACTACTTTCCTAGTCGAAAAGTAAAGAATAATCTTAATGATTGGAGACGCGTCCTTGGTAACACGTCCCTTGGCACGAGATAGTGGAGGACTAACCCTGTAACCAGAATCTCCGTTCGTCGGAGAGCGTGGCTTGAGTGTATAGATCTATACGGGACTGACAATCCCGCACCTGGCTGCTAGCTACAGCCGAACCGAAAGGTTCAAGGGTGATGAAAGTCATAAAAAGGATACTGACCCCGACTCGAGTCATATCTAGTCTGAGTATGGTTAAGGACTTGAAATCTAGATTATTAAAGTTTTAGATTCATTTACTAGCTTTATGTACGTAGTAAAGCTAATGTACATCCAGGGATGACAGATACACACACACACATTCAGGAAAACATGGGATTCTCCTGTGGATAATAATGAACATAATCGGAGTTAGTAATGGTCCACACTTACACACATAGGAAAATATAGGATTTTCCTGAGTAACTATAGTTTGTAACTAGAAAAGTGCAATAAGTTAAATAACTAAATTCTACAAATCATAAGAACAATCACGTTCTCACTGTACATCTTTTACTATACAACCTGGATTTGGTAACTTAACTATTAAGAAAATATGGGATTTTCTTGGATAACCACTCTTTCAGGAAAACAAAGGAACTCCTACAATTTCAGAAAAACTAACCGCTTATGAACTCACCAGCTTTATGCTGATTTTCAAACCGCTTGTATTCTCAGGTCCGCGTTAGACAGGTACTCGAAGATCCTTTTGTGAGAAGACGGAGTTCTTGGAAGACTCGTTTTGTGTTGTTTATATATATATATATATATATATATGATATGTATCACTTGTATAACTTATGCTTTTGAAACAAATGTAAAACTTTTATTTATGTAATATAATGGTTGATTTACTTTACTTGCTATGTACATTGGATTTGATACTCAACGTGGAGTCAACCCCAGAAACGTTTCCGCCTTTGGTTTTCGGGGTGTGACAGATGTTACAGTCATCTAGCGGAATATAGATGATGACCATGAACCTTTCTAGATAGTCCAATGGAATGCTTGCAGGCCCGCAACCTGTAGGTGTTTGTGAATGATGTGTTCACCGGTGTACTCCATCCTCTTCATTGTTGCCTTACGGACATATATGGATGAGGAATCCCTTTAGTAGTATTGTCCATCTTGATGTTAATCCTTAGTCTAGGTCCTTTATGATAGGTGTTTAGGGACGTAAAGTGAGGATAATGGGAACGGGTAATCAGGGTTCTTGTTGGTTGATGAAATTAATAAATTTATTTATCGTGGGTTGAAAACCCTAAGTGCTCACTAGGCTCCCAAGCCTGACCCACTCAGCTTTCTGTATTACAGGTAGTGGAACAAGAGCATAGTTGAATGATGATGAGGGATTTTGGATTATAGGCTAGTAGAGGTAAATAAATGTTGTAAGGCCTATATTGTACTGTTTATGCTTTTGATCTGTATCAATGTTGACATCCCGAGTTTGTAATGAAATTAAAAATACATTACTTTAAGAAATGCTTTGATAAATTTTATCATATTTTGTTTTGGGAAAAAATTCCACAACAATTTTAATTGAAAGATTACTCTGATTTTATTATAAA